GGCCCCGCCCCCCGCGCGGCCCGGCCCGCGGTCCCCGGACACTGCGCCTGCGCCCTCGCCCGCGCGCTCTCTGCTTTCCCCGTGGAGCCCCCAGGCTGTATTCAGCGGGTCCCTACCCTGCCTTCTCTGTCTTCCCAGACTCTGGCTATCCCGCCTCAGGGCCGGGGTTCTTGGGACAGGCTGTGAAGCTGGGCAGGAAGAGGAGAAGATTACCTCGTAGACAGAGGGCTCTCCTTGAGCATCTACTTTTTTTTTTTTTTAAAGATTTTATGTATTTATTTGAGAGAGAGAGAATGAGAGAGAGCAAGCACATGAGAGTGGGGAGGGTCAGAGGGAGAAGCAGACTCCCCGCCGAGCAGGGAGCCCGATGCGGGACTCGATGCGGGACTCGATCCAGGGACTCCAGCATCATGACCTGAGCCGAAGGCAGTCGCCCAACCAACTGAGCCACCCAGGCGCCCCTTGAGCATCTACTTAATGTTGCCCTCTTAGCAAGGATGACCTCTCCCCACAATCGAGGAGGTACGAGTGTCATCCCCATTTTACGGAATAGAGAACTGGATTCAAGAGGTGAAATATCATGCTCAGGTTCACACAGCTAGGAAAAGACAGAAACTGGGAATCCAGGGAAAGGCCTGGAGCCGCTCTCCCCTCCCTCCTCATCTCCCCCCACCTCCTAATGCCTGCCAGTGACTGGCCTGTGCCCTCCCTTCCCCAGGTGCTATGCCCACACAGGACCCTAACTGCCCTGATCCTGGGGGAGGGAGGGAACAGGGACTGCCAAGACTTCAGGGTTCTAGCACTGGCCTCGCTACAACTTGCTGAGCGGACTTGAGTGAGGCCCTGCCGCCTGCATAGGCTTCAGTTTCCCCATCTGAAGAACATAAGGCCCTCAGTTTTCCCACCTCTGCAGGCCCTTCCAGCTGGCCCTGCATCGTGTCTGCCACTGTAAAGTAGGGGCAGGGCCAGGCCCTCAGCACCCCTTCCCCAGACAGGTACTGGAAAGCAGCAAGTGCTTCCTGAGCTGTGGCCAAGTCGACAACAGCTGCTTTGGGCCGTGCAGGGGCAGGGCTGCCCACCAGCTCAGCGCACAACCTCTCGTCAGCTTCTTGGAGAAGCTGTCAGCGCCTGCCGCCACCCTGCGTCTCCAGGGCTAAGGGCTCCTGGAAGGAAGGCACCGGACCTTTCTTTCCTCCAGACCTGGCTCTGGGTCAGGCTGGAGCCCGGGGAGCCGGCAGGAACTCTGGAGATGTGTGTTCCAGACACGGTGTAGTTTTGTTTTTAATAATTAACAGCAGCAAATATTGATTTATGCAGGCACTTCCAGGCCTGAGCGCTTCTGGGCACCCATCGAAATGCAGCCAGAGAAAATATCCATTCCCACACTGGGAGGAGGGGAGACCTGCTCGCATCACTGGAGACGTCTGTGTGACAGGCAGAGTGGAGGGTGTACACACATGTGCATGCAGCTGTATGTGTGTGACCCTGGGACCAGGCGTGGCTGTGTGTGCGTGGACATCCCGGGTATTTGTGTTTGTACATGTGTGTCTGTATACACATGCTTGTGTACATGTGCAAGTCTCTGAATACATTTGCAGACGTGTGAACGTGTCCAGGGACAGAGGTGTGGGGAGACTGTGAGGTACACGCGTGCAGATGTCTGAATTCCCGAGTGGAGAAATCCCTATGGCGGGGGCGGGGGTGTCAGGGTGGAAGGGCCCTGAAGAGCTCAGTGTCTGTACAAATGTGGTTTTCCAGTGAGAGGGGAATGTCCCTTCTGGGAGTTCCGTCCTGCCCTGGGAACGTAACACTGCTGATACAGTTCAGCTTCCTGATTCCTGCTTTCCAAAGTTAGTTTCATAGTCATCACCCAGGTGTAAGTGGGCAAAGTGGGTAGAGAAGGAACTGTCACCTCTGTTTTACAGATGAGGAAACTGAGGCCCAGAGAGGAGCAGGGACTTGCCCACTGGCACAGGGAGGTGACTTGCCCCTCAGATTGGCTGCATCCACATGATAAATGTGCACAGACTTAAGGGTGCTGGAGAAGGGGCATGGAGAATGTGTCATAGGCCTGAGTCCCCTCAGCCCCACCACGGGTTTGCTGGGCATCCAGGGGGATCACTCACTCTCTGTACTCTGGTTTCCCTCCTTGTCAAAGGAGGATGATCCACAGACTGGGTCTTGCTTCTGGAGTAGGGGTGGGCTGCCAGGAGGAAGCGATTTGGAGCCCGCCGTCTGAGCTACGTTGGCAGAAATGGAGGCTTCTGTCTGACTGGGTGGAGGCCAGGAAGCCCGAGGGGAGGTGGCTCGGAGCTAATCTGTGAAAGGCAGCCCTAGGCTGTCGGAGCAGGCAGGACTCAGGGTGATGGGTTGTTCCTACCCTCATTTTCCTGATAGGAAGACTGAGGCCCAGGGAGGGGAAGCTATGGTCCAGGAGCACACAGCCCTTGGTGAGAACCAAGACCTCCTCCTGTATGCTTAGGGGGAGAGGGACTGGGGGCTTCATGAACTCAGGTGCCCTCGAGTTGCTCCCTTCCTGCCAAGCCCCAGGATCCACATGGCCCTGTCTTGGGCTTTTGCCCAGGCACAGGGAGCAGGCAAGGGTCTCAGGAATCCCCTGATGCTACCCTAGGACACTCAGTTGGGACCCCCTTGGAGGTGGTGGTCCCCCACAAGGATTAAGGTCCCTGGCCATATGCCTTCCTGTCTGAGGAGAGGTCCCTTGGTGGTCCCCCACAAGGATTAAGGTCCCTTGGCCAGCCCTGAGTCTGCTATTTCCTGGCTGTGTGACCTTGGGAAAATCTCTCTGAGCATCTGGTTCCTCATCTGGAGAATGCCTACCCCAAGGTCTGATGAAATGCCCAAGAGGCATGATGTCTGTGGACATGCTTTAGAAACCAAAAAGTGTACTGCAGAAGTGAGGGCTTATGGCCTTCTGTATCAGGGAGGCCACAGGGCCAGGCACTCTGGTCATATAGCCTGAGTTCCGGTCCCGGCCCCATCATATCCTAACCTGTGTGTCTTTAAGCAAGGAACTTAACTTCTCTGAGCCTTGATTTTCTCATCTGCAAAATGGGACTAATAGCAGTAGCTATCACATAGTACTTATAGTCTGAGGATGGAATGAAATAGATTAATGCTGTAAAGCATTAAGTACCCACATGGCACATAGTAAATCTCAGTAAATGCTAGTGGTTGCTACTGGTATTCTGCTAAGTTGTTTAGTTACTCATCTCTCACCTGGACTCTGGCTCCTTGAGGGCAGGGTCTGTGTCAGATTGATTTCTGGCCCCGCAGCGCCCAGCACAAAAATCTGACACAAATCAAGTGCCGGGCAAACGTTTGATTCTGATGATCTCATTTCCAGAGCTCTTGCCGTGTGCCGGACATTGTGCATGGAATGTGTTACTGGTACTTTTTCATTTAATTCTCACGATCGCTCTGTGCCGGGCGCTATCATTATGCCCGGTCTACAGATGAGAAGGCCAATGGTGGTGTTGATAATGAAGGTGGTTGGCCGGTTTATTCCCAGCCGTTTTGCCCCCTCCCCAGCAGTGCTACAGACCCCGGTCCAACCCACCCAGGGGTGACAAGTGGTGTCCCCTCGGGGAGCCAAACCCTAAGCAGCATCTGCTTGAACATTTTACCCCTGTCCAGCGGTCCTTTTTAATGATCTCTCAGCCCCAGCGGTCCCCAGAGCAGGGGTAGTGGGAGGAGGCACTCACCTTGGGGTAGAGTGAAGCAGGCTGGAGGGGAGCCAAGTCCGTGCGTGGCAGGTCTAATGCCTGAGGGAAGCGCTGGTTCTGCCCATCACTCCTCCTGGAAGACAGAAAGGGTCTGTGGTCAGGGAGAGCCCCAAGCTGGGAGATGGGTGAACTTTGGGAGGAAGAGTTGCTCTCAGAGTTGGGGGACAGATTTCATGGAGGAGGGGTCCTGGGTTCCCCAGGAGGAGGGAGAGGAGAAGTTTCTGGAGCAGGGTGGCCAAAGAGGCTCTCCTTCCCCAAAGATCAGGGATGTGGACAGGGTCTCTCCCCAAGTTCTATGTTAACCCCTCCCCCCCACACACACACACATACTCCAGCCAAGAGGACATCCACAGCCCATTCTGAAGATGGGTAGACTGAGGCAGGGGACCGTGAGGCTTGCTGTGGAGGGCTGAGTCCTCTGACCTCCGTACTAAGCAGGGTGCTCAACCTCTATAGACCTCTCCCTGAGCCTTCAGGGAGACACAGCCTTAGGACTAAGAGAACACTTGGGCTATTGCTGTTCTTAATGACAATAACAACAGTAGACACCCACTGGGCCTACTGTGTGCCAGGCCCTGGGCCAAGCCCCTGTTTCCAGGCCTGAGGGCACAGACTCCTCACCACACTGGTATTCTCACGCAACAGATGAGGACCCAGAGGCAGGCAGAGGTCACACAGCTGGTCAGGGGCAGAGCCAGCGTCTGTGTGAGGCCTGACTCCAAGTTCAGCCTCTTTGCCCACACCCACACCCCTCCCTGAGGAAAGGAAGCAGGTCTGGTGAGGGTGAAGTCAGCTCCTGTCACCTTAGAAAGCCTGCCGGGGAGGCTACCTCGGGGGTCACGGAGAGGAAGTGCCCAGTGGCTCCTGGAACCCAGGGAGCCCAGGGCCGGGTGAGCAGGCCTGGCTTCCCCTTGCCGCCTGGGGCCACCCTGACGTGGCTGCACCCCCACCCCGGTCCCATCCACTGAGGCTGGTCCTGAGAGGGTGAATCATTCAGGCCGCCAAATGATCCTCAGCGGCCCACAGTGGAGGGCTTGAGTCAGGCGGGGCCGGGACTGCCACACCCTGAAAGGGGAAGGGCCTGCAGGAACCTGGCCCAGGAAGGAGGCCCCGCAGCCTCTGAGCCCCGCCTGCTGACTCCCCTCAGCCCAGCCTCTCTGGTAGGAGAAGCGGCCCAGAGGAGCGGTCCACAGCCCCGCAGCACGCACCAGATGCCTCTCCGCCTCCCAGGGCTGCTAGCATCTTTAAAGTGGGGCCTACACTAAGCAGGGCTTGACCCAGAAAAATGGATATGGTGGCTTGGCATTTCAAGCAGTGGCATCAGTGTGAGGAGGGTATTCCCAGGCACTTACCTGTTGTGTGACCTTGAGTCAGTGACACACCCCTCCCAGCCTCTGCTTCCAAAAAAATTCATAGAACCTGGGCAGCTAGTAGGTCTTTACTCAATCAAGTCTTTGGTATTCATTCATTCATGGTAAACTCTGGGTCCCCGAGTTAGGGTCTCATTCGGTATTTGTTGAATGGATAAATAATGGAATGAGTCAATGAATGAATGGAGGTTGGCAGCAGGGAGGCACTGGAGGTTTGTGAGCAAGGAAAGAGCCTGAACTTAGGTCCCTGCAGGTTGCAAGGCGTGCTGACCTGGTGAGAGACCGGAGCCGGGGGAGTACAGAGAGTCCCACAGAAATGGTCCAGGCAAATTCCACAAGGTTGTCCTGAGGACTCTTTGTCGAGACCTGGGTCATGTGCCTGGAACTGTGTCAAGCATTTTTACACCCTCATTACACTGCTGGGAGATTGGCCTTATTTATCCCCCTTTTTATAGATGGAGACACTGAAGCTCAGAGAGATGAAGCCATTTCCCCTAGCAGGTGGGTGACAGCCTGAATGTAAAGCACACACCCTTGACTGAGCAAGGCCAGTGCCAGTGGGATGGAGGGCAGAGGTAGCCCGGGGGCCAGGAAGTGCTGGGGTCGCAGCCCCGGGGAAGCTGGCTCCCCTTAGTGGTGGGGACATGGGGACAGTGGTCTCGGTGTGGCCCTGGCTGCCCAGTGGAGGTTGTGGCCCATGATCGAGCTATTCAAGCTCAGACAGTGGCTGCTACCAGTCAGTCTGGCAACAGCTCCCTAACACACTCCCCTTCCAGAACCCCCTCAGTCTGAGCTTCCCCATGTCCAGGTACCCATCCCACACAGGACTGCTCATGCTGGCACAGGACTAGGGAGGTCTCTCAAGACAAGGGAGAGCTGGGGTCTGACTTCCGTCCGGGACCCTGCCCCAAGGCTCTCAACTCTCTAGTTCCTGGCTGGCTAGAGTAGGCCCCTCCCAATAGGGCCCCCCTCCCCCTGCCAGGCAACTCCTCCACCTACAAGGTCATTGCTGAGGCCCTAAAGGGCAGGAGACCGGAGGGACTCCACAATGGGGACAGAGCAGGAACTGGAGGCTCTGGGCCCTGCCTGCCCCATCCATCCCAGCCCTGAGGGACCAGAAGGACAGTAATCACAAAAGCCACAGCCCACCTGTGCCTTGTATGATTTCACTTAATCATCACCCCATCCCAGTGAGAGGCAGGGGCTCAAAAACCGCCTGCTTTTACACATGGGGAGACCGAAGCTCAGCAAGCTATGTTAATGTGCCCAAAGTCCCATAGTGAAGGAGGCAGAGCAGGCACTGGAACGCAGGTTTGTCACTCCAGAGCCCAAGATCTGAACTTCACCACACGGGCGGACCCAGCAGGTCGCGTCAGAGAGGCAGTAACAGTAATAGCAAGGACAGCTAACGCTGACACTGGACGGAGGTGCCCTGGGCAGTCTCTGCTCTAACTGCTTTGCTTGGATTCAGTCTTTCAAAGGAGAGCACTAAGCCACAGACAGGTTAAGCAACTTGTCCAAGGTCACAATGACAGTAAGTGAAACAGAGGATCTGAACCCTCAACCATCTGGGTCTAGGTGCCCTGATGCTACACTCTATTGACTCTGAATAGATACTACTTGCTCAATAAATAATTTGGCAAGGATGAATAAACTCAGCCTGTCTCCCCGCCGCCCAGGTCCCCTTGTCTCCTCTCCCCCTCTCAGCGTCCCTCACCCTGTACCCATCTCACCCCCATCTTTCTAGCCCCCTCCATTCCCCTTCTGCCTCTGGCCTCTGCAGACCTCCCCCAACTTGGCCGTTTCCCTCCCTCTCGTGAACTTGAACCTCCGCCACTGCGCCCCCCCGCCCCGCCCCGGTCTCTATCCCACCCTCCTCTCCTCCTGGTCTTAACCATTCTGTTCACATGGGGCTGCCCCTCCCCACTTCTTTGCAAACCTTCCTGACCCCATGGCCTGGCTCAGCTTAAAATGCTTTGCATCTCCCTGCACGTGCAGCAGCTGGGAGGTGCCTGGAGCATGCTGGGACACGGGGACCTCTCCCCTCTTTTCCCCTCCCCCTGCCATGACCAAAGTCGTATCTGCACAGCACTCTACAATCTATTGTCTCATCTGAGCACCCTGACAACTTTGTGAGGTTGAATATTATCCACCTTTTCTTCAGATAAGAAAACTGAGGCTCAGAGAGGTTAAGTGACAAGTCCATGGTCATACAGGGAAAGGGCAGAACAGAGGTTGTACTCCAGCCCAAGGTTCTTCCACTACACTCATCACAGCTGCTCTCAACCCAGAACCTCAGTCCAGTCACCCAGCCTTGGCTACCAGTGGCTTCCCCAGGGCAGCCCTCCCTGGCTCCCGCAGCCACCACCAAGCATCTTCCCTAGGTCCAGATCCAGTCCTGCCCTGTCTGGTCTGGACACCTGCCTCCAGGTACAGGACACCTGGCCACAGGCAAAGGTGGCAGCCAGAGAGGAGGTGACTTGCCCAAGGTCACACACAAAGCCTAAGCCATGCTGGCGTCCAGGCCAGGCACATTCCAGGGTCACCTTCAGGCCCTGGAGGTGCGTGGCCGTGGCTGCCAGCCAGCTGGCCCCAGCTCCCCACCCCGCGGGAGCACCCATCTCTCGCAGCGGTTGGTGGGGGGGGCCCAGTGGCCCAGCTCCTGAGTGGGAGGGATGGGCCAGGCCGGAAGCCACTGCTGACAGCTCCCGGGTTTCTTGGCAACTGTCACTGCACCTCCTCCCATCCCTTATCTCCACATCGAGGTAACAATAATAATCTCACTGTCGTGAGTACAGCTCTTTGTACTTTTCCAAAAGTGCTCTTTATCTGCTCACTCCTGGGAGTCTCACCGGAACTGGAGTGGGAGATAAGGCAGTCGCTAGGATCTCCAATTCCCAGAAGGATAAACCAAGGCTCAGAGTGGTTAAACCACCACCTCGAGGTCCCCCAGCAAAGCAGAAGCCGACTGGGGACAAGAACCCAGGCCTTCCGTCAGTCCAGGGCTCCAGAGCCACACTGGGGTCCGGGGGGGGCGAGCATCTCAGGGTGGTTCCGCCCACTGCCAAACTGCAGGTCAGATGGAGGCACAGTGGAGGGAGTTAGGTTAGGCTGAGGAAGCTGGCCAGATGCCTTCCTGGGTTACTTCTCCCCTGTTAGCCAGCTGGAGAGTTGGTGGGAGGGTCCTGTCTTTCTCCCCCTCTGCAAAATGAGGGATAATATCCCCCCTTAGAAGCCGCTGTGCACTGCAGAGTAGAGTAAGCCCTAGAGAAGCATTTGCTATTATTATTATTATTATTATTATTATTATTTTATTATTAGCCACTCTCCTGGAGAACTCCACCCTTTCAGGGCACTAGAGCGGTGGCTGGGCTTTCCTGTGGGTATGACTTGACCCTGTGGCCACCCAAAGATAGCTGCTGGATGGAGGTCCCCAGGTGGGTGTGGCCCCTGCTGACTCTCCTAGCCTCATCTCCACACACACCCTCTTCCTGTCCGGCCCCAGTGGCCTTGTCCTAGCCTGGCTGGGCTGCAAGCAGTTTTGCAAATAAGACACACTGTTTCACTGCTGAGGCTCTACACAGGCTGTTCCCTCTGCTGGGGGCTCCCTTTTCCTTCTTTGGGGCCTGGTGAACTATTCATGCTTTAAGGTTCATCTTAAACAGGTGAAACTCTGGTGGCCAGAGCAGGTGACATATGACCA